TGTCTAATAAAAAGAGAAACTGCAAAAGACGTTTGGACTTGTGCTCAGACTGGCGATGTGCGCACCAGCGGCCGGGCGCACTTTGCATTCATTGATTGATGATCTAATGAGAAGTGGCTGTCAGTGAACATGCATTGTTGCCAAGCCGATCTCAATCGAGCAACGCAAAGTCAAGCGCTTTCGGAAGCGTCGGACATTGGCAGAAAAAGGAAAACACACTTTTTTTTTAAAAGATATTGCTATTACTTTGTTTTGTAGATGAAAGAGACGGCGGCAATGGGAGCAGTTCCTTTTTCTCTCAACATCAGCGACAATAGAATGCAAATTCGTTGGGAGTTCGGAGGCTGCTCCGAACGAACTTGCATCCTCTTGCCGTCGAGGGTGAGAGAGAGGGAGAGGAGGGGCAACACTTCTCACACCCTCCCCCATAACCAAGCGGTTGCCGCGACGACGACGCACATATTGTTTTGTTTATTTCTTATTGTTTTTGAAAAAACCCAACGCCTGTTAGGGGAGATTTGGCGCTGCCGTCTGCAATTGGAGTCCCAATGGGAGGTATAGACCTTTTTCACAAGGGTGCCGCCATCTTGAAATATCGTCACTTCTAGTATGGGCGAAAACATTGTTTTGCCGTCGCCACACCAATAAAATGCATTTAGGAGAAAAGCGTAACTGTCACCCATTCTCGTTTTCCCTCCCCTCTATTTTTTTACTATTTGTAGGTTGAAACGTTTTAATATTTTTTCGTCGTCCATAGCGGATATGCTAACTTGGCGGTCGGGGGCGAGAGTAAGCGGAAAAGGTCTATAGGAAGATTCCGCCAGTTGTTTCTAGAGCCCATAGGAAGCTCCAGAAAGAGCGCAAGCACCATGTGACTACACTGGCCAGTCACATGACTCAGTAGCCACTTTTTCGCGGGCGCCAACAACAAATTCGTTTTGTGCCAAAATATAGCTCTACAATTTTGTTTTTTTCGTTGTAAATTTATTTTAGAAGTTCTTTTTCCATTTAGCCCATTTTTTCTTTCTTTCTTTGCATGTTTTTTTAAAGGGTAACTGCAAAGAAAAAAAAGTTTTTAACAGCTTAATTTGGACAAGCATGTAAAAAAACAATTTTCACGCAAGGAAAAAAAAATTTTTAGAGCAATATTTATTGCGCGAGACTGATTTTAGTTTGCGGCTATTTCGTCCGTTCTAAATCGCGCGCCACAAAGTTGGTGTTCTGCGACGTTTAGCCCCAATTGGCTGCTATACTTCTCATTGGCTCAGAGTTTGATTGACAACTTAGATCTTGGTTGATGAACCCTTGTTATATGTTGCAATTTCGTTTTGAGCGGCATATTTTTACGTTTAAAGAATAACCCATGTAATGAGTTATTTTTTACAAAATGTTTACAAGACGGGCACTTCCGTTTGGATCCATAGCATAACAAACAGAAGCTTCGCCGTTTTTTCATGGCCGCCAAAGTCTCTGCTCCCGCCTGTCTCGACTAATCGTTATGCCGAAGTCATCAGTGTTTCGTGTTGACCCAGGTGCTTGAGCGAGGCTTCCTGAAGTGAAGTAGTGTGTGTTGAGCAGCTGCCGCAGGTGTTAGTGATAGAAAGCGACGCGGAGTTTTGGCTTTCATAGCGCGGTTTGTTACTCTCGTTTCCCGCTTTGCTTTCTTAGCGTGTTTTTTTCTTTTTTTTTTTTTGCTTGCACATGCAAATGTTGACTTTTTGGAGATGTCAGCTCCTGTAAAACGGCGCCCTTGCTCTGTGAAGTGCTGCCAGATGAGATATCGCGAAAGCGAATCTTCCAGCAGCCATGTCGCCCCGAAAGATGACAATCTGAATGCTATTTGGCTGGAGGCAATCGGGCGTTCGCGTAGCAACAGACGCGTCCAGGTATGTCCTTGTCATTTCGCTCCGGAGGCCTTCGAGATTCGCAGCGGGTGCACCAAACGTCCGCGACTAAGACACAGCTGTTACGTAAAAAACCTGGCACAGCCAGGTTATAACGTAACAGTTGTCTGCAGAAGCCTTCGAACGTCCAAATTCTGCGTTAGACGACAGCTCTTTTTTTTTTCTCGGCTTCCGAACCATCTTACGTAAAGTTGTTTGAATTGAATGTGTACTACTATCGTAAGTCTTGGCTTGTGAATACGCCTTTGTAGATTATCTTATTCGTTTTGCTGGAGAGACGCAAAAGACGGGCGTAACAAAATCGTTTGCATATTCCGCATACCTCGCAAAAGCCCCTCCTCAGTCATTTTGCGAAACATGGAGTCCGCAAAGTCCCGACTTCCCAGTGTTTTACCTGCTTTAGAGCAGTTTGTACCTGCTAGTAGGTATGTCTACTGAAACTTCAAACTAGGGGCAGTGCCAGAGAGAAAAGAGGCAAAGTTGGGAAACCTTGCTCACCCTCCCCGATTTCTGAACTCTCAAGTGACAGTACCATAATAAATGCACAACGCCTGTTACCAAAAAAAAAGAAAAGGCACCATGTGTTTCCGTAGAACCAACTCGACCGGATTCAAAACCTGCGCCTCCTTCCCTTCATGGTGCGGCGACGTCGCAAGATCAACGAGCAGGCTAGGATCACATTTACGCTGATCACCAGGTCATCATGGACACCTACCATGTAGTCAGCGAGTGCGGTTTCGATGCTGACATATGCGAAAGATGAGAGACAAAATGGAAGAATCTAACGAAGAGCAGACGACGAAAGAGCAAAAAATCCGACAAAAGGCACGCGCACGATCGCAAGAGCCAGTTTTGTCACGTGACGCCCGCAAAACGGAGGCCATGTGGAATCCTCACGTTGGGACGCTGGACGGTGGTGCCACCCACTGGCGCCGACCAGCGGCGCCATTCACGCTAGTGTGGTCAGGCCTTTAGGGAGCTTTTGGCGTGCCTTATGCCGAGGAAAAAGCGCCATACGAAGCTCACTCAGCACGAAGAGCGGGGCGACCGTTATTAGGCCTAACCACTTTCATGATCTGACTGTCTGAAAGCGGATCACAGACGATGGCACGTTTGTTGACATCGATGCATCCGACGGACAAGTACGTCCGGGGCTTGGCAATTCCTCGACCCCAGCTTCGCTAGCATGCACGCCGCTTGGTTTCATGGTTGATCACTTCCGCAACTACGCAATTACAGCCATTACGAGACCAGCTTGGCTTGGCTTGACTTGGCTAGGCCGCTTGGTGGCAAAAGAAAATTAGCAGTCCCGTGTTAATGTACAGTCTCAACAATAGCTGCGACATATCACGGCAAAGTTGTCAGCTCAATTGGCTTTGTTCTCAGGAGCGCACACCTCAGTTCTTTCTGCAACAAACGGCAAGACGTGTAGGCGTTGTCACCAGCGGGCCTTTCGGCGGCTCGCAACAAGTTCGACGCCACTGCGCCTGCGTCTGCAGCCTTGCGCTATACTTTTGTCGTGTTTCAGCGTGTCTGCTGCTAGAGCTACTCAGGCATACACTAACTACGATGCAATACGCAGGCTTTTCTTCCAGGTGGCATTCGATGGATGAATATTGCCGAACTCATTTAATCAAGCGGCGGCTCTCTCCACCTAGCAGAAGTTTTTTTTTTAATTTGGACGATTAACTCTAATTAAATTTTAGAGTGATTACGAAGAGTTTTCCATCACGATGTCACATCATTTGTGGCCATCTAGCGGGCACTACTCGAGACTCTTACTCGTGTTTGTTCCACGAAAACCATGTAATAAATTGAATTACTAATGCTGCAGTGAACCTCTGTGGTGACGCGCCGCTTCGCACGCGTTGGACCCAGGTCAGACTCCCAAAAGCAGCGGACAATATTTTTCCAGCAGCTGGCAATATTGCGACGGATGCTGTATGCCCCATTACGACAACTACAACACCAACAACATCTACAAGCGGTTTTGTGGGGTCATACGGTGATTTCCGCCATATTCTTTTGTTCTGTTTGTTTTTTACATCCCCTTTCCCTCTTACATAAGAGGGAGTCTTCTCATACGCTTCGAATGATGCACCACCGTTGAAGCACACTCCACTTACGATGGCACCAGGGCATATGCACATGGTTTTGTTTCCCCAATATGCATAACGTATGTGACAACGTAAAACCGAGGTGCGGCGATGACGCCGTTTGTGCTAAACTGTCGGCACCCAGGAGGAAAGGTGGGCTCTTCGAAGACAACAGTGTGCAGACAGTAGGCGACAATTGAGGGAGGCTGTGGTGGCCTCATCCTAAACTGCCGACGCCCGGACAAACAGACAGGTTCTCTAAAGGCGGTGGTGTGTGGACCATTTTGAGGTTGGAATTCCCATCCTTCGCCGAGTCGGAACCCCTGCACTAAATCAAATTTCGTTGAGAATCGGCGTTGCAACGGCAACGATTTTGGCATACTTTTGTCTCCACGTCCTCGCACAAGAAAATGTTGGTAGAAGACTGTTGGTTTTCTTCTCCCTCTTGCTCTCCACTCTCTTTTTTGTGCCAGGACGAAGACAATGCCATCACTTGTGACACGGTGTCGCTCAACGAAGTCATCAAAGAACAAACACCCCGACACCGACTCGCGTTGGCTAACATATCCGGAAGTGTAAAGTTTTGATGGCATCGAACGGTTTGTGGAAGGCGACACCGACCCGTTCCCAGAAGTTTCTGCCCTCAAAGAGAAGGTAGCATCATGGGATAAGAAGAGAATGCAGCAAAACATTACCCAATTTTTTTCTCTCGAAAGCACACGAGTCAGTAACTAAGTTATGTTGCTACTCTTCCTGCAAAACCTTTTGATTAAACTCATTTTGTCCAGAGGCTTTAAAGTTTTCATTGTCCAATATACTATCAACTTAGAAATAACTATAAAGGCCACCGAATATCTTTCTCACACCGGGTCGAGCGATGTAGTAGTTCCGCGGTGTACGCAAACTGTAGAAGGCCACCAAAACATGACATTTCCACAACTTAAAACACTCGCAACGACTTCCCGTCACAGCGTCTGGGAACCGGTGGTGGGGCACCCACCTTTCCCGGTCGTAGTGGCCCTGGTACTGGGGAGGGTAGGAGGGCGCCCCGGCCTGGGCCCGCATGGGGTACGGGGCGCCGGCCCCGTAGGGGTCCCTGCCGTTGTAGCCCCCCTCGTAGCCCTCTCCGGCATACTGGTCGGCCCCTGGGGCGTAGCCGCACGTGCCCCCGCCGATGCCGGCCTGGCCGGCCGCGTACGGGGGCGCCTGCGAGTAGCCGTGGGGGTAACCCTCCCCGGGGTACTCCTCGGCCGGTGGGTAGCCATCCGGCTCGCAGCCCACGTGGTTCGTGGGCGGGTAGCCGGGGGGGCACGGGTACTCCGAGGCCCCCATCATGCTCGGGGGAGCCCCGGGCGGGTAGGGGGCCCCCGGGTGGTAGCCCCCCGCCGCCGGGTAGCCCTCCATCGACTGGCTCGGGGGTCCGTAGTCCTGGGCCGCCCCTGCAAGACGGAAGCAGGCGGTCAGGCACGACGATGGCACCCTGGAGTGCACTGTGCTATCGACTCCGTTTGACCTCAAGTGTGAACATAGCAGAAACTAGAAGAGCGTTCCTGCCCCCCCCCCCCCCCCCCCCAAACACACACACACACACACACACACAAAGAGGAATCAACTATAGAACAATATGCAACTGGCATGCTTTGACACGGAGTGCAAGGAATGGAGACAAAGAATGAGATATAGTGGAAATCCTCTGTTCCTCCACTCTGAATTTCTGTCGCTGAGGCGACGTTCCAAGTGCGATTAGAGTCAATGGAAGTCACTCCGGCTGGTCAGGCGATTAAAATTTGTAGCTAAAATGACGCTCATTGTAAATTTGTATTTTGGAGCGCTATTGTGCAAATTGTGAGACGCGGCTCGAATATTTCGCTATATTATTCCGCACATTTTTCGGGCTACTGTGTGAAGATTACGAGTCATAGTTTACAAATTTCAGAGTAAAGGTAAAACCTCAAGCCTTCACAGAAACCATCACCGACGAGAAGCTCCCCTACCGATTTTACCGAGCATGTACGAGACACTTTTTCAAGTTACGATGTGCAACAACGGGATTATATCTTAGTGGCATAGCTCTGACTAATTCGAAGCGGTAACTTTAACCTGGGCCAAGGATATTAATTTTGATCAAACAAACGGTACCCCCAACGACAATGCTGTAGGGACCGTGCAGACGCCGACATCAGTGCAAGCGCCGTTCCTTTTGTTGCAGTCGCGAAAAGGTAGCAAAATTGTTGCTTCTTTTAAAGGGACCCCGACACCCTCCAAAAGTTTTGTTTTATTTTTTGCCAATCAATATTTTTCTACGCTCGAAATCGAAAATGGACTGGGTAGGAAGAAGAAATATAGAGGAGGAGAGAGTTGGCGGAAGCCCCATGGCTGTGAAACTTTTTTTTTTTTCTCTATCAACATATTTGCGGCGTTTTAGAAGCCACAAGAAATGGGTACCGTATTTCTTTTCTATTTTTAATATTGAGTGTGTGCCTTCGATGACCCACGACTTTGATTTTATTTGGTGATTGTGTCTAAACCATAGAAAATGGCACGTGACCACGTAGAAGAAAGTGAGTGCGACTCAAACCGACCAGTTCTCGGTTGGCAGTTTTCGGGCGGAAAGAAAACGAATTTTGAGCGCAATTGTGCTCTGGGTAGTTGGGCTCTCGTATGTCATGTACAAATAAAAACCTTAGCGAGCATTAATACCCTCTCACTGTCCCTTTAACTTCCTTTCCGTGTTAACTTTGCATACTGAGCAGCAACCACAAAACCACAATCTAGATTCTAGAGAACGGAGTAGCCCAGAATAGGAGCACTGTAGGGTTTGTGGTCCCTCTAGTTCAAAGCAGGAGTCCTTTTACAAGTGGCGACTGGTCATTTCGCTTAAGATGTTCCTATTAATTTCCTTTTACGAACCTCGCAACAACAAATGCTAATGCTAACGAGTTCTAATATACAGCAGAACTTCCCTCGTTCATACGTTTTTCAGGGGACCGGGGAAATCAAATGCAAGATCTGGGAAAGCGCAAGGTTAAAGAACGCTATTCCAGGGTGCTAGGGATGAGTGAGTTAATAACTGTTACGAAACTATTTATTTTACGCAAAAAAATTGTAGGTGTGAACAAAATTGGCTAAAAAAAAAGTCTGTGAACGGTGTGAAGACAAATACGTTCAGAAAAGCTCGTAATTTCCATCTGGCACTTTGGGCGACTGAAACGCGGGCAAGCGACGGACTCTCGGGCTTGTAAAGGGGCGTTTGCCTATTTCCTTGTCGGTTCGTCCCCGCGCCATCGTGCACAACACTTCGGTACACCAAAGCCGCAAAAAGGTCTCGCTGGATGACAGGCTGTAATGCACATGCGAGAGAGATAGCCGCGTGCTAGACGATGTTTGACACAAGCTTCTTTTCACGGATTGTAGGAGTACCAGAACTTGCAGCGCGTCAGCCAGCTTGCACCTTCTCTCACGTGTGGAACCAAATACCGCGCGACAACATGAAATAGCAATTGAACAAAAATGGAACAAAGCAAAACATGCACGATGCACCATCTTAGTGTTGCTCGTAAAAAAAAAAAAAAAAAAAGAATTGTTACCAGACCAAACATGCTTGAAGCGAAAAGGCGCTTGGCATTTTCGATTAGACTTTTCACAAAGTTTTAACGGGGGTTGACTCAAAAAGCATTTTGTCTGGCAACAACACACCTTTCTTTTCGTTACAAGCAAAACGAGGATGGTGCATTGTTTCGTTTTGTCCATTCCGTCCATCTGCTGGCTCGTTTTGTCGCACAATTTTTGGTTCCACGTGTGAAGATGCAGGAACTGTTTCCGGCAGATGCACTGCAGGTTCCAGTACTCCTCCAGATCCATGTGAAAAGGCTTCTGTCAAGACTCGTCTAGCATGTCACGCTCTGTCCTGGCCATCCATCCAGCCTTTTATCCAAAAAGACCCCAAGACCCGCAGGTTGGGCAGGACCTTTTTGCGCCTGTGGACGCATCAAAGTGTTGTGTGCGAATGAGCGGGGATGGCGACACGGGCAGACACTCCTTTGCAAGCCCAGGACTTTGACCCTTCTTGAGCAGGACCACTTATGTTATGCCTTGGATTAGTAAAGATGGTGGCGCTTCGTGTTAAGCCTCTCACGGTGTTCCGTATCGCGCAGCAACCAGCAGCAGCACACAACGATTATTTTTCGCATTAATGCGATAGCGCCGCAATCGTAGCGATAAACATTGCATTAGCTCTTGGACAACGGTGCCACTGTGCAATGGTTTGGTCGAACCTCGCTTTCCCCTCTTCGTCTGAATGACGTCACAGCCACATGCGACGTCATACTCGGCTGCGTGCATTGCATTATGGGATTTTTTGTCTTGCCGACGCCAAATCTGTTGCGACACAGCTTCTAAACACTATTGCGTTCAAATGGGAGCTTGAAGCACCGCGGCGAGCGACGGTAGAATTATATCTGCACAGTCCCTCCCTGCCACAAGGCTGCATGCAAGAAGAGTGGCCATAAAGATGACAAAAGAAAAACAAAAAGACTATGTACAATGTTTCAGATTGAAAAAAAAAAGACTCGCCAGTTTTTGTTTTTTTGAGGGAGTTTGAGGTCAACTTGGATCTGTCTGGACCTGGGGAAGCTTCGGGGTGGGTATTACCTAGAAGACAGGCGAGCAATCACAGCCAATTTATGCAAGCACCCTCAGTCCAATTTGATTAATGCCTTATCTACCGGAAGAGTCCTCATACTGTTTGCCGAAGAAATTCCCAGCCACCCTGACAAGCAGTAAAAAGCTCAACAGAACATAGAAACACTTGGCTGCAAACTTTAGGAAATCCAGGTAAAGAAACAGCACACAAGTTAGTGAAAAAGGTCGGATTGCTCCGGCCAAAACAATGGACCCAGTTTGAGAGCCTCAGATCTAACGAAATCTTTACGAATTGGCAGAAGTTCTATCTGATGTTCTCCAAAACCCCAAAATCGGTGAAAACATTTTTGGTTTTATTTTATCAGATATCTGCTCTGTCAAATAAGATGCTATTGTACAAAAGGAATTTATGACCACAAAATACTGCTGAATGTGGACATTTTGCAAAACAGTGCATAATTTGTCAACAAGCAAAACAAAGTGTTTAGCAACTTTCTTGGCACTACCGAGGTACTGACAAAAGCAAGACGCATATAAGATCACCGTGCATAAAGCTATTAAAAGTGTTCACAAACACAAATCAAAGCAGAAAGCCAAGCAATATGTTGTGAATACAGTGACAGGTGAGGCTAATGTTGAAATTTGGCAATGCTGACTCAACAAGTAGATCAATGTGACTGCTAGCCTGGGTTCTTTAATGTGGTATCATGCAGCAGTGATTGCACGACTGCGTGCCAGTACAATGCTCGAGCGTATCAAAACAACAAGCGAGGAGCACCAATTCAAGTTGCCTGCATGCTTTGCACGAAAAAATAAAAAAAGAAAACATGGGCCCTCATCATAAATGCCCATTTGCCAGAAGGCGTCTCAAAACTTCGACAGCATGCACAAGAGGGAAGCCAGTTGCAGCTTCAGAAGATCACAAAATGCATTCTAAAAAACAAAGGGCTCAATATGTTTGCATGTTATATAGCAATAATCTGTGGCTTGGTTTCCCTGCGTTATAACTAGGGCTCCGTGTTTTCGGAGTTTATATTTTGTGAAATTCGGAGGGTGTTTTTCAGAGTTTATTTTTTAGCGAAAATTTGAATGTTTATCGGAGTTTATTTTTCATATACCATCTCCAATTCTCCGAAATTCCGAGATCAATTTCGCAGTGTTTCCTATTAAAAATAATAAATAATAACCGGATGCAAACGTATGCCAGATAAAAAATAAAACGCGCTTGTATCAATTAAGATTTCTTCAGTTGAATTTGACATTGGTGTCATTGGCAATATTAATTTGTCCCACGACAAAGGTCGCACACAAACGTGGCTTCGATAAACGTCGATACCTTAAAATCAATAAACTGCCGTAGATGACCGCAAGGAAGCTCGTAGTCATCCCATCAATCTATCCAGCTGCCGCGCGAGGTGGATGTAATAGAGAAGTTTCAACTGCCACTCTTCCCTATTTTATACAACCTCTATGGTCCATAGCTCTCCCTGTTACCCCCAGAAACATACCCTCTCCTTTCTCTAAACCCCAAATCCCATGGCCCAAAATGGAAACCAAAAGAGTGGCTTTTGTCGTGACACGAATGGTACGATGATCGGTTTCCCTCAACTAACCTTGACGAGACAAGCCGTAAGACCCCATTTTGTCAACGGTCCGAGGCTTGAAATATAATTATGGTGTCATTTTCCCAGGACCATTAAGCCTGCGCTGCCAAAAATGTAAAAAAAAAACAGAAAAAAAAACCCTTTCTTTTTAATTGTTTGGGACGGGAGGGGGTTTATCGGATAAATCCGAATTGCCAAAAACTTTACCAGTGGGTGTTTTTTGGAGTTTTTCGAATTTATTCGAAAACACAGAGCCCTATTTATAACGGAGTGACTACAAGATTAGGTTCGGGGCATCATCATCGTATAACGAGGGCCATTCCACCATGCTCCCACGATTCTTCTGCGCGTTGCTTGCAGGTTCAATCTGCGCTACTTTACCAAGGAATTAGCACACAATTATCCATGGGTTCGCACCAGATATTGCAATTTTAGAAGTTGGCTTAGCTCTTAGAGCATAAAAGTTATTGTGATTCTCATTGTGACGACACAGCCAAGATACCAAAGATGCCTACTATGGCATGGAATCAACAGCAATATACTGCAGGAGTTACGGGGTGCCTCGGTGTTAAAGGCTTGGACAACAAAACCACCCTTTATGAGCTTCAATACATTAGACCCTTTTAGTTCCCGACTTTGATGACCAACCCTGCCGGCTCCCTTTGGAATTCCGAAGAAATAATGTTATAACTTATTGTTTACCGAGATGTAATTTTCAGAACTTTTGGTTCTTATGTTCAGAACACGGCAATTTATTTATTAAAACCAACTTCAGTATTTAATGGACTGCCTCGCTCGCAACAACATAGCTGACCCAACCCCTGGTGTCGGATAGATAAATCTGGGTCCTGTTGATGTTCAGAGGTTTCCCCGCACAGGTAGGCTACGGTATCCGATCGTCAAGCTGCCCCGCACGTCCTCTACGCAGCCGCCACGCTACCCGCGAGTAAACGGGGCGTGGCGGCTCCGGCGGCGGCGGAGGGAGGGTCTCACCGGAAGGCGACATGGTTCCCTTGGCCTTCTTGCGGGAGGCCGACTCCAACTGGCTGATGATGGGCTGAGGGTCGATGCCCCCTCGGTCATACTTGCACTCAAATGGCAGCAGGTGCTTGACATACTGCTTGCGCAGGGTGTACGCAGCACTAGAGGAGGCCCCGATGCCCAGCACACCAGCCACATCCTTCCAATGCTTTGCCTTCGTTACCTGCAAGGCACAAGGTACGGCACCGTAAGTCCTCCTCCCTGTAGAACCTCCAAGTACGCTCATCTTGAGGATTTAGCACAAAACAACGGGAGGCACACCCGCCAGCACGTGGACCTCGACGGCGCTTTCCCAGCACGACCACTCAAACGAACAAGGCTATCAGCAGAGTTAGCTTCGTGTAATTGTGCCTCTAACAGTATCGCATGAGTCTTACGAGAATGTAGGATAATAAATACGAGGGGCCTTTTAGGGATGCCAGGGAGCCGCGCTCAAAGAATCGGTACTTTTTCGTCCACTGTCTCCCACCCCTTCGGCAGTCATTCGTTCGTTTGCGTCGCACGACGCTCGTTTACGAGTAAGCCCACCATTTCGTGGCGCAAGGCTTCGCGGGAAATAATGCCAACCGACGCGATCCCGAAATGCAGCTACAAGTTCTAGATCCGCGCGTGCTAAACCTCTGACAATGTCCTTCAGCCACAACCGAGTAACTGGACGAGATGCTTTTTGTCACGCGAGTCGGCAAAGGCTGGGGGCAATTGCCAACAGCGATCTCACGCAACGAGACCCCTTCCACAGAATAACCTTTGGAACAGCTTAAAGTCGCCAGGAGGCTACACTCGGTGTGTCGGAATTTCATTTCTCTCCTTGTCCGACGCCACCACAACAACCGTTCGTTCGTTTGCATCCCGTGACACTCGTTAACGCCCCGGCGGCTCGTGCGCACCGCCATTGGGACTTGGGACGGGGCAATGTTGGCAAGTTGTTCCCTAGCTTTTCCTAGATCCCAGCGCTGCAACACGAATCGCCAGGATCGGGTCAGACTTGAAACAGGCGAGCAACTCTGACATCTTGAGGCGTTTGAAGCGGCAGCAGCCAATCAGGGACAATATTTTCATGTGCCGCCCCTGTGGTGGCAATGAGTACAACTAAAGAGGGGAGTTTAACTCGATTCTGGTTTGAAATGAATTGTTTTTGGAAATAAATTGTTTTTAGAAATAAATTTTTTTTTTTGCAATAAATCGTTTTTGAAAGGTGAGCCAATGTTCTTTAATGCCATTTAGAAACATATAAAGAAGTTTACCGAGTGTAACTGCGTGTCTAGGTAGTGCAAGAAAATATAATTTAATGACGACGATGGCACGTCTGAGCAATCTGGTTGCTGCCTGTGAACGCGGAGGGGCCCGTGTTGCTGGTGTTGCCACGCCAAGAAATTGCCGTTTGCGACAGTTAACGTTCCGAGATGCGACTTTCTGAGTGGCACATATGGCGCTACGTGATCGTAGCGGTACTGTTCTGCTCTGTTGCAAACTGTTTTAGAGCGCACGATGACGGAGAGCACTTCTCGCATTTTCTGTCGGAAATGTCGCAAAAAGAGCCGGTGACAAACGCCAACGTGGTTGAAGGGTCGTTACTAGCCGACCTATTTCGCGACTCCCCACGGGGGCTCCAAGAAGCTTCCCGGGGAGGCACTCACTTCCACGAAGCCACCTCGATCCTTGACGATGAGGTAGAGGCGAAACAAGTCCAGGGGCTGTTTGCTGATGGTTGGGCACTGGGTGATGGGAGTACCACGCTCGTCGTTGTACACTATCAGCTTGTCCAGAAAGGCCCTCCGCTCGGGCTCCTCCGACATGTCGTACAGCTTCAGGAGGCCGTCGGGTCGCTGCAAGCACACACACGGACGGCCTCAAAACAACGCCCTCCCTAGCCAAGGTCGGTCTCGGACCGAAACATCGTGAAATGTCCCGAGAGTCAAGCCCAGAAACAGCCCCGCACATGGTAAGCCCCGAGCGTGGAGAAGTCTTATTTCGACTAAATAATTAAAGCACAAAACGTAAGGAGATCTTGCAGTCTTATATTATCTACAGTGATGTGTCAATAATATGGACACCTCCGTTCCCCCAAAATATTGCCCATAATGTGAGTTGTCCATTATAACGAGACGAAAATGCACATATTTTCACAGTCTGTCGCCGAAAACCACGTCCGTATAGCAGGGTATCTATATTAATGGGGTCCATATTAACAAGACATGACTGTATAAGACTGCTAGATATTTAATAATATAGAGATAATACATTTATAAAATCTGATGCATTCATACCCCTAGGTTTCACCGCGAATACTTTGTTAACTTGCGAGTGAACAAGGCCCTACTTATAATTAATCCTTTTTGTGGCTGACAAACCAAGAAGAGAAAGATGGACGATAAAAAGCAGCAATATAGAAAAGCCACGAATTTCCAAAACTCTGGAACTTTGGCAACTACTACTAAATATAGAGGTACTTGAAAGAGGGCTTAGTTTAGAACTCACCTTTATCATATGATGCTCATAAACTTGGCTATTAACAACCTGGAACAAAAAGCGAAACGTGTCAGCATAAAACCATACAGATGGGTCAGCAACTCAATCCACATTGCAGCAGCTGCAAAGTGTCAACATTGCAGCAGCTGCAAAGTGTCAGATGCGTACATGGCACCTGGCACTTGTGCCAGGTAAGACATATTTTTGTACTCTATATTTCATACTATTCACATCCTTACACAGCATCTAAAGCCGAGTACTCACACATTCATGGGCACTGCTAGGAATAGCCACAAGGTCCAGATTAAATTTCCCATTCATCAGATTGAAGCAAACAATTACTAAATGGTAGGCATGTGCAAATAGTGTTTTTTTAGTTCGAAGCGAATTCGAAGCGAATAGTAATTTGCTTCGAATATTTTCGAAGCGAATAATTCGAATAGTTGTAGGAAAAATTATTAGCAAAAGTTATGCAGTGGTCACTTCACCGACCATTTATTTTCACTGCAACGCAGCCACAAATCAAAACTTAGTACAAGAAAAGTCAGTGATTTTCATGAAGGAACACGGGCTGCTGCACATGATCAGGGAGGAGAAGCTCCCTCCTGCAGCTCACGATGCTTCCTGCGCTTGAGAAAAGCCTTTCACTCCTAGTCTGGGTTGCTGGTATCGAGAGATACCTACGGGCAACACGGACCAGGGATGGGTACAGATGTCTTCCCCTGCACCTCCACCATGCCAAGGGGTCTTCTGTGCGTGTAAGGAGGGGTGTCTTCAGGTACTCAATAGCCTCGGTAGCGAATTCGTGGCCTGGCTTTTGGTGCGTGTCAGAACTAAGACTGGTGAAGACATCCCACAGGGTGTCTCCTAACGAGTCTCCTATGCCTCCGCTGGTTTCGTCCACTGATGCGCTCTCCTCAACGGCCTTCGTCAGGAGTGTGCGTGCCCATTTTTTTTCTGCCTCTCCAGTGTAGCACCCGTCCTTGTACCTGGGGTCCACCAACATTGACAAGGCTAGAAGGCGACACATCTTCCCATCTGGAAATCGTGTCTTGATGCTTTGTATGAGGCTTGAGGCAACTGATCCTGCTTCATCGGTAGAGTGTCGTCTGAGAACAACCTCGGTGCACTCTAATAAAAGGATCACTTGGGAGAGGGTCGGATAGCTGTCTCCAGACAGCTCAGCTGTGGCTTGCTCGAGAGGCTGCGAGACCTGCACTACTGCAGCCATAAGCCTCCACTCACTTGCACTGAGAGGTTCCACTGTGTCACATTCCGACAGCTCCACACTGACGGGCACGCGAAGCTTCACAAGCCTCTTCATCATGGCGTGTTCACTATTCCAACGTGTTGGAACATCTTGCACAACCTCAAGTGGCTCAAGGTTCATGTTCTTTTGGATTTCCATAAGGCGCCCGCGGGCCTTTGCACTCCTTTTATATTGAGCCACAATGGTTCTAGCTTTCGCAGATAACTGCGAGAAACCCGCCACTTCTTTTTTGGCGTTGCTGATGCACAGCTGGAGTGTGTGTCTGAAGCACTGCACGCCAGACCACGGTGACCGTGAAAACGCTGAGGTGAAATTCCTAGCGTTGTCCGTGACTACATAAATCGGCATGGTGCCTGGCGCTGGTAGTTCCCAGTCCTCGATAGCACTTTTGATGAACTGTTCCAGGTTTTTGGCCGTGTGGGAGTCCGTCATGTCCGTACAAGCCAAAGCGTGCACGTGCTGTCCAAATTCTTCGTCCATCACGTGGCAAGTCACGGAGACGCAGCTATTGTTTGCGCGCGAGGTCCAGCCATCCGTCGTGATGGAGTAACATTCTGCTCCGCTACTGAAAATGTCTCGCAGACTCTTTCTTAGTTCTTTCTTTTTGGACTCGTACAGATCCGGGATGACAACCCGCGAGAAGGTCGTCCGCGATGGCACAGTGTAGTCGGGCATGGCAAGCTTCATCATTTCAATGAAACCACTTTCTTCTACGATGCTGTACGGATGCATTCCGCTAGCAATGAAGTTCGCTATTATCGCCGTCATTTGTTTCGCTTTGGGTGCAGTCGGTTTCAGTTTGGGCTTGAAACTGTCGGCTACCGACGGTTGCTGATGATTCGGTTTACTCCCGTTCTTGTGTTTGACGGCACTCCCGCGTGCTTGACGCTCACATTCGAAAGTCTTGTACGAATCAGGGTGCCTTTTCAGGTGCGTTGCGAGGGTCGTTGTCGTACCCGTTGGAGTTTTCAGCACTGCTTTGCATTTGAGGCACCGAGCTTCATTTCCCGGTGGCACTTTCAAGTAGTAGTTCCATATCGGATTTCGATACGCACCGGCTTCACTTTCATCGTTCCCGGCTGCCGTCGATGACCCGTCAGCCATACGAACGAACACGCAGCACCTAGAGCGAGCACACTTCGGAATCCTTTGTGGAGCTGCGACGGCTGCGACGCACGATTTTCTGATCGGTTTAGCATGTCTTGGATTGGATTGGATATTTTTTATTTCTTGATGCCGATGCGGCTTTCGTGAGTAACAACCGAAACCGAAACTACCAGATACAATTGGCCTTCCTTCCGCTATTCGTTAGTGCCGAATACTTTGAACTTTTACGAATATCGGAATTCGGATCGAAGCGAATACCGAATAATGTACTATTCGTTCGAATATTCGGAAAAATCGAATATTCGCACATGCCTACTAAATGGGGTTAAAGATAAAGAGGTATATAATCAGTGGCAGATTCAGAGGGAAGGTCCGAATGTACTGACCCCCCTCTTGAATTCTGCATGTGCAAAAATTTAGGGCGTGGAAACGGCCCTTAAACATATGCTACGCTGACCAACATCTGACCTCCGCCTCTGGAAATACCTGTGTCCGCCCCTGTATATAATACAAACAATGCAACAAGTTTGACCACAGTCAAATTTCACATAAAGAAGCCGGCACAATTTTAGTGGATTACAAATTATAGGGCTTTTAATTAACTAATACCCTTAGAAAAAATACATGAAGGTGCATTAGTACCTAGACATTCCACGAAACGACATCCCTTCGCAATTCCTCCGAGAGGAGCAGCACTGCACCAACAAGAGCCGCTATGATGCATTTTCGGGAAAAAAATGGAAAACTTTTCCAATTCTCTGTAATGCGGGATTAGAGCGCAGCTCTCGAGGAGGGGGAGGAGAGGGGGGAGTATGCCCATGTGATTTCACTCGTGACGTTCCTCGTGACATCTAATGTGGCCCTCGCGGCATCAAATTTTGCCCTCGTGACCCTCCCAAGGTCACTGGTGACCGTCGTGACGTCACTGGTGACCCTCGTGACGTCACTGGTGGCCCTCGTGACGTCGCTCGTGGCCATGTGACGTCACTGGTGACCCTCGTGACATCACTCATGGCCCTTGTGACGTCAAACAAGACATCACGCGGTTACGCCGATGCCAACACTGACGGCGACACCACTCAACCCAGATACAGGCACCTAAGAGCTCCAAAACTGTTTCGGGCTATGACCGATGCACGTAAACATCCACACTCCCCAAGGGGGGCTAAGCCTCCCATTACCTGAGACAAGCCTATAGAAAGTTACAGCTCGAGAAGGTAGGGCGAAGAAAGAAAGGCTGGGGAGGGAAAAACAGACCGGACGCTGAAGAAGAGGGGGAAACCTCCTCCTCTCTCCAGCATTCCATCTGCTTCCTCCTCACCCGCTTTCCTTTTTCCTCGCTCTACCTTCTTGAGTTGCAACGAACTATAGCCTATGTACTAATGAATGCTTTCTACACGCCGATCAGAGTTCTGAGCAAGGCCCAAAATTCCTCGAAACTTAGGGGCCGCCTCGTCGTCATACCCTGCAAGACCATCCGAGACAGGGTGGGAAGAGAGAGGGACTCACGGGACTGGCAGGGGTGCGTGGCCAGCTGGGGCTGGAGACGCTCTCAAACTCGTCGTGGAAGGAGGACATGGAGGCCCCGCCGGGGGAGGGCAGGGTGTTTGGGGTGGGAGGGTGCGACATGGGGGGCTGCTTGCCCCCCTTGGCCCCACCCTCGCCACCCATGTGCTCCTCTGGCAGGGAGGACGAGGCCGAGGCATTGGACGCCTGACTGCCCTCGTCCAGCACCTGCGGGGGCGGGGCCAGGGGCCTGCCGGGGGCGGGGCCCTCGTGCGACGCCCCGCCCCCGGACACTGGCGGGCTGCTTACGCCCTGCGCCAACAGGGCCGAGGGGGCGCCTGCAAGGGGACAAAAGAGGAGGGGTCCCTTCAGCCCCATTCGGAAGTGCAGGCGGAAGGCGAGCCAACGCCTTCCAGGCAATGAGGGCGTGGATTTCCCGCATCATTTAACAGAGGCTGGCACAGACAAGGCACGAGTCTAACGTCGACGCAGTACTTGTGTCGAGAACGTGCCTTGCACTAGCGTCCGGTAGGCAACATAGAAAACGGAGCGCTACAGTTTCATTACCTAGGGTCATGGGGTAAGCATGCTGTATGCCAACACGAATGTCCAACGTGGTAATTCTGAGCCGCCGTTACGCTGCCAGCACTAGCCTGTTCTCTGCCTTTGGACCCCGCTAAAGTGGGATGGCGGACGTAATCTGCCCAGACTTAAAACCATGGCTCGTTTCTGGTACGCAGATGAAGGTCATTCTGGTAAACATATACCGTAAAATCCCTTAAAGGTTCCTGCCCAAAATGAAGAGATAAATGTTGAAACATATGAGCTGGGCTATCTTTGGGGATGAGTTGGTAAAACTTTATCACAGGGGCACCCACCACAAACCACGTGACATGAGAACAGACACTGCATATTGCGTACACGGCAAACAAGCGTTTCACAACATGATAACCATGCTGCATTTCGCTACAAACTCCCGTGCCAAGGAAAAAGATATGACAGACTGTAGATGCAGCAGATGCATGTTTTATGGTGTGATAAATATGCAAAAACCGGCTCTAAAAACTCGCGTGCCACAAAAACAGATCACACGCACACATTGCAGAAAAAAACTGTGGGAACTCACAACGAACTTGCCTGTCACGGGAATCGATATTGTGCGCACAGATCGCGTCACAAAGAATGCAGGAACTTGCTATAAACTAGCTTGTCACACGTCTCAGTACTGCAGATCACGCGGTTGATGCGATTTCCGCCTGATATTGCATGACGTCCGACGGGATTCCGGGGGTGGGTGATGTATCCGGATTTTTATGTTACGGACATTTAGTTAGAAAAACCGGATGGGCAATTTCTCAAGGGGGGCACCGTTATGAGATTTTACGGCATATTGCAGAATCGTGAAAAATTGCCCATTTTTACGGCGAGATATTTGCTTCTCAAAAAAAAATAAACGCCAATAGAAGCATGTTTCCACAGTGCTCAAGGCTGCACACAGACAAAGCACATGCATACACTTCAAGCCCAAATGAAGGCTGCAAGATAGCACTGGGTGTCGAGCATCTGACATGAAATGATAATCTTGACCCTCTTCATTTGCTAACTACTGTCAGGATTCAAAGGAGGTTGACCTCTCGTTTGAATCCTACCCCCAGGTCAGCTGTCCCTTCAAAACATAAATACTCCCTCTCAAAATTCGACACGACGACGAACAGCATCCTTGTTGTCGTCGTTTGTACGTTTTGCTTTTTCCAACGCGTCCCCGTCAAGAACGGAGTGAAAACTTCCAACAACTTTGATGCCTGGAGTGAGCCTTTGACTGGTGCATTTAGCGTGCTATACCGTCTCTGCATCGGAAGCGGTCATAGAGTGACAATGAACTGCGTCAGTAGTAGACGTCTCACACCGTCGGATGCTGCGATTTGGGCGGTCGGTGGTACAAGCTACGATGAAAAAGACGAGCAAATGCTAAGGTTGCGAGGGACGCAAGTGTCTGACCTAGCAATTGCTTCAAATTTCGTCGACTGTCTGAAACGAGCTGCAGCGCAAGAAACACCTGCGGTATACACCCTCGCTCCTGCGTCATCACCGCGACTGCAGTGGGCAGAAATCGAGGGACCACAAACGAGGGCTTGCAAAAGGAAGCCGAAGAGGAAGGGCGGCAGAAAGAGAAAGGTCCGTCCACTCACTCATAGGGGTGGTGGGACACTGGCTGTAACAGGCCCCGGGTGGAGGCCCCGGGGCCACCCCCTCCGACGGGGAAGGGGAGGTCCCCTCCCCGCCCGGGGGCGTCATGGGACTGGCGTAGCCGTACATCTTCTGCTGCAGGTGCTGTCGCAGGTACATGGGCCGGGAACCGGCCCCGCCGGGCACCCCTCCCCCGGAAGGGGGCACCCCCAGGGCCCCCTGGCCCCCCTTCGAGTACTGGGGGCCCGGCGGGGGCATTAGGCTGTTGGCACCCCCGTAGCCGTACTGGGAGTTGCCGTACGGGTAGCCCGCAGCCACCGACCCCTGGGCCCCCACCCGGCCCCCCCCGTGGCCCGGGTAGCCCCCTGGGCCAGGGCCCTGGGGAGGGCCGTAGCCAGGCATGGGGCCCAGGCCCCCCGGCTGGCGGGGGTAGTTGCCTGCGAGAGAAACGGGGTCAGAGGTTACGTCGACGGGGGCGGAGCTTCCCCTCTACTTTCATCACCCTTTCCGTATCATCTTTCATTTTGTTTCCTAGTGCCCTCTGTTACAAATTAAAGCTTCCAGACATCTCTATGTTCGAGAGATTGATAAATAACCGTTAAGTGAAGTTTTGCGAAGCTATCGCAAAAAAAAAAAAGACTAAGAGACATAATTGCTGAGACACATAGCCTGACCAGAAAATGGCACACTTAGAGGAAGAGTGGTACATAGCTCACTGTAAAAGACAATAACCTTTAGGCCAGTGTCTCTTTGTCATGGACTCTTGAAGTAATCTACTATACAGTCGCCGAACGATTTTTCGGACTTTGCAGGGACCGAAGAAACGTCTGAATAATAGAGCAGTCTGAAATATCAGCAGATTAAAAAAAACTTGCCGTATTATGTCTAAGCGGGCTTAAAAAAAGCCCTAAATAGTGCCTTGCTTCAGGTGGCGCCTGCGCGCCTTGTTTCAGGTTAGGCCTCCGCTGCATTCAGCATTCTATTAGTTTGAGAATCGCCGCCTTCTTTTCAAGTGTTATGGTCGATTATTTTTTTGCGCTTCTTGTCGACACATTGCGGCGGTGGAAGAACAGAGGGCGCTGGCATGGACATCATTGCGCCCTCTGCTTTTCCACTGCCGCAATGTGGTCCATGCCAGCGTAGTCCGAAAACATGATTCACCGAGATGAGATCGAGATGAGAGGGCATCGATGTCCAAGCCAACGTAGTCCAAAAACATGATTCACTGAGATGAGATCGAGATGAGAGGGCATCGATGTCCAAGCCAACGTAGTCCGAAAACATGATTCACCAAGATGAGATCGAGATGAGAGGGCAATGATGTCCCCAAGCCAGCGTAGTCCGAAAACACGATTCACCGAGACGAGATCGAGATGGCAATGATGTCCAAGCCAGCGTAGTCCGAAAACATGATTCACCGAGAGATCGAGATGAGAGGGCAATGATGTCCAAGCCAGCGTAGTCCAAAAACATGATTCACTGAGATGAGATCGAGATGAGAGGGCATCGATGTCCAAGCCAACGTAGTCCAAAAACATGATTCACTGAGATGAGATTGAGATGAGAGGGCAATGATGTCCAAGCCAGCGTAGTCCAAAAACATGATTCACTGAGATGAGATCGAGATAAGAGGGCAATGATGTCCAAGCCAGCGTAGTCCAAAAACATGATTCACCGAGACAAGATCGAGATGAGAGGGCAATGATGCCCAAGCCAGCGTAGTCCAAAAACATGATTCACTGAGATGAGATCGAGATGAGAGGGCATCGATGTCCAAGCCAATGTAGTCCGAAAACATGATTCACTGAGATGAGATCGAGATGAGAGGGCAATGATGTCCAAGCCAGCGTAGTCCAAAAACATGATTCACTGAGTTGAGATCGAGATGAGAGGGCAATGATGTCCAAGCCTGCGTAGTTCAAAAACATGATTTACCGAGACAAGATCGAGATGAGAGGGCAATGATGTCCAAGCCAGCGTAGTCCAAAAACATCATTCACTGAGATGAGATTGAGATGAGAGGGCATCGATGTCCAAGCCAACGTAGTCCGAAAACATGATTCACCGAGAGATTGAGATGAGAGGGCAATGATGTCCAAGCCAGCGTAGTCTGAACACATGGTTCACCGAGACAAGATCGAGATGAGACGCCCAAGTCCATGACTGCATGCCGAAAGAACAAAATAATGTGGTACCTACAATGATGATGATAATTAAGCACAGCTAGAGAAAAAAAAGCCGTACAGCGTTACCTAGCGGTAGGACTTAGCAGCACTGAAGTAGTGCTGCCAAACCAAGGCAAGCCATGTGGAGCCAACATAGAATCCAAAATGGCCGCTTCTCGGTGGTGTTTCTCACTGATCGCCTCGCTGTGATTTTGTCCGAGAAATTATCCGAAACATCGGTCATGAGTATGCATCATTTCTACTGTGTAGGTCACAATTTCTCCTTTAGGTCCGAAATATCTGACAAGTCTGAATTATAGGCGTCCGAAAAATCAGTCAGCAAATGTACATGAATCACAACCAGTGCATGTTTTAAGATTATTAGCAAATTAAAGGCAATTTCACCCACTAAACAAAACTGAAAACCGCTAAATATAGCTGGAAAACCGCTAAACTGGCAGCACTGATACTGATAAAGAATGCTGCTAAAAACCTATCCTCAAAGAAAAGTACAAACATTGTAAGGAGTGAACTTTTAAGAAAAGAAAAATAAAAGGAGTGGTTGCTGACGTTTCGGTAGGGAACTCCGCAAAACATTTAAAGTATCTTCCACATCTGTCGCTAAGAAACTTGGAATTGAAGTTTGTAATGAAATGTCAGCTGCCACTGTCAGGTGACAGTTCAGCCTACTTTTGCCAAGAGATTTTGACGAGCGAAAGCAGCATTAGTATGGGTCGGTAAATTTGCAAGGGACTATCAAACGATCTTCGCACTTTTGCTAGCTATAGTTTGGTTAAGCACTCCATGTCCATAAATAAGCATGGTATAGGTGTCAGCTTTTTAAAAATAGATGTGGTTTTTGCATAAAGAATCACAAGGCAAACATTTTCTCCCTAACTAATATGGCTGCACACCATACTGAAACTAACAAGAAGAGCATCATCTCTACAAGGGACTATAGCCTAAGAAAAGATTAAAGCACTCTAGAACTTCAAAAAAAAAAAAATGCTAGCTACTCAAAAGCAACAGAAATCCCACCACCTGCAAAAATGCAATTTGTTCTACTGGGCAGCACAAAAAAGAAAAAAAAGACTAAGTTCAGTGGCAAAATTGTTACATTTGGCAACATTGCTAAAGCCTCCTGCCTCTATGTTTGTAACGCAGTGACTGTTCCAAACCTTTGCAAATGTGCCTTGAAGGATGTGCAATGATTTACAAGTTAACAAACTGAAACACTGCATTAAGCGCGAAACACATGTACTATCGGGGAAAAATGAAATGCGAACAGAGGAGCGCGTGGCTCGCGGTACAGGCTGCGCCGCCTGGAAGTGAGCCTAGGGGCGAGGGTGCGTTGCCTACTTCGATGTGTTCATGCCCCTCGATTGGCGCTCCCCCAGCTTCGGCAGTGCGCCTCTCAGTGCGCTGAAAGCTGTCACCGCTATCTTTGCCTGCTCGGCGAGTGCGGCGAGCTTCTTTGGACCGCACGCGCTGAGCCAGCAAAGATAGCGGTGATAGCTTTCAGCGCACTAAGAGGTGCACTGCTGAAGCTTGGGGAGCGCAGAGGGAGGGGCGTGAACACGTCGGAGTAGGCCACGCACCCTCGCTCCTAAGCTCACTTCCAGGCGGCGCTGCCTGTACCGCGAGCCACGCGCTCCTCTGTTCGCATTTCATTTTTCCCCGATAGTACGACGAAACCGTCCGATCCGACGTCCGACCACGCAATACGACGGTCGGAGGCGAGGGTTTTCAACGCTCTCCGATGCTACGAAAACCCTCGCCCCCCAAGGTCATTCCGGCAGTTTGCACGTCGGATCGGAAGGTTTCGTCGTACATGTGTTTTGCGCTTTAATGTAGTTAAAAAAAAAAAGCTTCAAAACACAAGTTGCCACCGGTCATGCAACCGATGTTGCATGCACATGCTGTCTTGTCAGTCTGTGTCTTGTTGCGTTTTAATTGGCCGATCACGAAGAGATTTCCTGGAAGTGTTGGAAACGACAACAAAACAACAAGAGCAAGTGTTGCAAAACATGTAGAAAAAAACAAAAAAACACAGCAAGACTTTTGATAAAAAACAAAAGCATTCTGAAACATCTGTAGAATTCTTGATACTATTTCCACAATAATATATACCCCAATTTAAAATAAATAAATATTTTTAAAGGAATACCTTTTTTACTTTTAACCATTTTCTTGTGTTCATAAAGTATGCTCTTTCTATGCTGCAACTGTTCCCACAACTGCTGGGTGGCACAAGCTACGAACCAGTAATAAAACACAAGAGACAATGTATATCCAGTCATTCTTTGGCATCCTAGACACTTTCTAAGCTACTGCATTTACTCGAGTAATAGAAGCACTGATTACGAATAAAGCCCACACGTCTACTTTCCCACAGAGCACACACAGAGCCAATGACTGCATTCTGGATGAAAAGTGCAGCGAATAACAAGGTCAAGGAAACAATTCACTGCAGAAGTGCGACTTCCACAGAAGTATTTTGTCTGAAGAATGTTGTCTATGTCCTGCAAGTCATTGGGCTGCTTCTGTCGATTGCGAATGTGGTACTAAAACCTGTGCTCTATTCCTGACTTGCAAAGAAAAGGATAGGCACACTTCAAGCAGACCTGGGGATCTTTTGACGTGCAAATGAAATTACAGTTTGTTCGCAATTCGCACAATTCCTACAGTGTGTCAGCGTTTCCCACAATAGATCCCCGTCAAATTGCAGGCGCCTTGGCTAGGATCTGAACCAGAGATTTGTAGGTTATGCGGCATACGAGTTATTGCACGTTTATCATTTTTGTATTAAAGCATTTCATTTGTTTTATTCTGTCCTCCACGATGTTGCACTTCCACATTCACCGAGTTTACTCCATTGAAGGGATGAATGTTGTCAAGCTACTCTTGTAGAAAAACTGCTCCTCAGAGAAGGACCACCATCCCTCTCTGCAAACATTCGGAATTATTTTCGATGTGTAAATTAGCTCACCTATTCAGTGTTTCAATAGCTTAATAAGTACAGTGTACATAACAAGTCTGACACAATTCAATCACAGTAGTTGTTTTTTCATGTCTGTAGTCTCTCGTGAATTTTGTCAAGGTTACATAGTGCGATGCTTCCCTTAGTGTTCAATATCGAAAGCAACGCCATTACCAGTCAATCAATGCTTATCTTTGAGGAATTCTATGATTGATCAATTTCAACTTCCTGACTTTTATGTACTTCTTTGTTGCACACTGCTCGTAGAGCGAAGCGGAATCTTTGAAAAACAAGTGTAGATAATTTGTTTTCCTGTTCTACAAGGGCACAAAGGTCGCAAGCCTGCATGTGCCCTTCAGGGTAACAAAGAAACAGAGAACAGAATAGTAAAATAACCTAGAAACAAATACACTTTGTCACGAGGCCATCGAGTAGCTATACTTTGTTTCAACCTATGATGAACCACAGTCCAACCTGGAGGCTGCCATGCCCTGTTACGAGTCAGTTAGAAACCACGCGACAGGACCAGACAGCCCATAGCTTCGACTGTAGTCCATACTTGAGGTAAAACCAAGTATGAAGGGCAACATTAATGAGAAAGCAGGCTCACTTTGGGGATAGTGGGGACCTGGATATGAAGACATGATTCCTTGGTGCATCTTGGCACCATACATAGATGACGCCTGCATCTGCTGGTTGTACCCTGAAAAGGACAAGAAGCGATTGTACCAAACTTGAAAGGACGCCCAGTATATTTCAATAATTCCCCTGTCACAGGCTCTGGTTTCAAGCAAAGATTAATCGTATAGGTGAACTGATCGTTTCCCCAGTAAGTGCACTGCTTCACTGGAGGGCAGTCATACACATAAGCTCAATAGAGTGACTATATCTTGGTCATTCTACAGCCTAATTTTCTGTTCGCTCTTGCAACTTTTTCCACACACATGCAAGTAGCTATGGCTAGCGCTTTGATGCCAGTTTGCCACCCAAAACTTGCTTTTTCTTTTTTTCGGTATGTGCTGAACACACTCAGGGTGACGAATCGTGTGTCCGTCCCTAAGTAGATAGCCATCATTGTTTGTTTTATACCAACATAACAACCACAGATTGAAGAAGTGGACATACAGCACCACTTCTATGAACTGCTTGTTTGTGCTTTGCCATCTTTTATCCAAATGGGAGGATGCAGGTTGAAGTTCCCTTTGGTAGCACTGATATCTAAATGGCATTTGTCTCCACGAAGCTGCCTCTCAGGCCTAGCAAGTGGACTAAGTTAAAAAGACAAACGACCAACATTAATATATATACAAGGGGACATAAACAGCTGCTTCAACTCCCAATGAGTCTGCTAATATTACCTTCATGTAAACGAAGCCCCAAACAACATTTCGTAGACCCTGAGATGGGGGAACAATAAAAAAATGGACGAAAACAACAAAAATCTCTTCGTCCGTTTTTTTATTGGTCTACAAGATGTTGATTCATTACCAGCTCGCCTGCACTCCATCACCCGCTTACAACCCCAAACAATTTCATTAAAACTACCCTAATAAATTACCCAACACAGCTGTGCAATGAGCTATGACACAAGTTGTGTGTGTGCATGAAACAGACAGGCAACTCAAAGAATGCTAGAAAGAACAGGAGTGACAAAGTGACAAAGCAAAAAAAAAAAAAAAAGTTCAATATGCATAATATTAGACTTTTATCCCCTAGAAACTGAATGCAAAATTATTTCCCTAGAATTTGGTTTCTGACATGAACCCCAAATCAAAAAAAAAATGTTTTGTGCACCGGAATTAGGAGAACCTTTTGGTACTGATTAGCCTTATGCAGGAGCCACTCACTGAAACTTAATTTTTCCATAAAAGGTAGGTAAAATTTGCCACAACATTTGGCCAAGTAGTAAGCCATGCTAGACTCGAAAGCAGAGTGAGCTACAATCTCATGTGCAATAGATAAACAAAGTCAGCACGCTCCTGTCAGCAATCAGTAGCCTCATTACTTTAGGAGGCAATGCTAGACAGAGGGGCTTCAGTACCTTGCTGCGGCAGCTGAGGTTGAGAGAGGTGATTTGGCGCGCTGCTGTCAGACTGACTTGATGAGGGTCGCGGAGGCACGGGAATGTTTGACTGGGCACCTGAAAGGACGACACGCCAGTCGACCGCCCGTTACCAGTGGGCAAAGGCCACTCATCCACGGATCACAGTAAAACTCACCGCAAAATAGACAGGTTCAATGAAGCATGGAAGCACTATTAAAACTTATTCTGCGAAAAAAAAAAAGTTAGGTAATAATTTTCAGAAATAAAAAAGAAAAAAGACGTGTCTCCAGAAATAAGAAAACACCATAAAAATATATATATATTCGAGCCAGTGGCAAATAAACTTTACAGCAACGCAACACAAAGAAGATTAAAAAAAAGAAAGTATTTTTCAAAGGGCTAAATATAATAAGCTAACCGACTCCCCAAACAAACAAAATTAGAGCATCGAGAATTTTTGCATACGGTTATCGTTTTCGACGTCCGGTAATACGCGCGTCGTCCTAAACTGATAAGAACACACGCGAGCCGTCCAAAGTTTAACACACGCAACAAATTGGCACGAAAAAAGGCAGTGGACGCGTTCGATACAGCCACAACGGGCTTATCGAACGAACGATAGGCCCAGCATGCGCAGAACTCGATAAATGCCGCCGCCCCCCCCCCCCCCCCCCCCCCCAAAAAAAAAAAAAAGTTATTTTTCCGAGGCCGGAAACACCTTTAACAATAACAATATAAGATTCACCGCCGTTTCGATCAAAGGAAATCACGATCGTGCACACGACAAGTTCTTGCTGCACGACTATGTTGACACGACAGAAGGTCCATGCCTGCTGCTCCCCCCCCCCCCCCCCCCCCACCCCGCACCTTTTCCCCCTCAAATAAATAGATAAATACGTAAACTTCGATAAACCGACACCGATACGAACGAAATCGGCCGATTCCGGCACCTTCGGCGGCAGGTGGCTTGAAAACGAACGCTTCTGGAACGGCGACGCGACTTTTGGGCGTTTGCGTCTGGCGGGAGGAGCGGACGCAGCGGAGCCGGACGCCTTCCTTCCTTCGGCGGGGACACACGGCTGCCGACCCTCGGACGTGGCCCGGACAGTCTAGCTTCTTCTAATCGCCTCGCCGCGCGGCACCACCGACCGAGGCGACGACGACAAAGCGGGTCCCCAAAGGCGCCACAAACTTCGGCCAGGGCCAGGAAACCGCGTTTCGCACTCGACAAAACAACTCTCAACTCGGGCCTCGAGCAAAAAGTGAAAAGAGCACGAGCGCGACGGCACGCGCAATCCCCCTCCACACTCGATTTACCGGCGAATTGGATTCCTCTCGTTCGCCAAGCTTGCTCCTTTCGTGTTTTTGTTTGGTTCGCCTCTCGCGCGCTGAGACGCCGGGCGCAAAACCCAAAAAAGAAATAAAAAATAAAAAAAAAAAAGAACGACTACGACAGTGTGGAGTTTTGACCACGATCTAAGAATTCGCTTTACGCCAAATATAAGCAAACAAAAATTTGGCTTGCCCCCCCCCCCCCCCCTCTCACCACACACGCACAGACACGATGTCTCTATTTTCACACGACCTGCTTCCATTTCCTCCCTTAACCAAACGAATATGGTTAAAGCTAAGCAAAGTCTAAAAAAAAAAAAAAAAAGGGGGGGGGGGGGGGGGGAACGCGTGCCCTGTATTCAGAGATATGGCGTCCTACAATAATTCTAGTACGTCATATCAGAGTGTGAAAAAAGAACAGTCTCTTGCTTTGCATTGCACGAATCTCCCCGAAGCGTACTACGTGCACTAACAACTCTGTTGTTGTTTGTTTTTTCTCGTCGAGCTGCGTCCACCGGTTCCGAACGCCACGGCAGTGACAGGGGCACAGCGAACGCGCCGTCGACGGCTTGGCCCAGTCGATCCGTAATTATGATTGCGGCCGCAATTATCATCGGCTCCCGACAGCCGCGCCGCTAACGAATCGCAGCGGCAATAATTACGGCCCGGCGGAAAATCGAGCCGCCGCCGCCGCCACCCGAGCTAGGGCCGAAACACGCCAAGTGCGCCTCCCAGCCCGCTCGCACCCGCCCAGTCTTCGGGCCTGGCGAGCATCGTAGTGCACCTCGCCGTTCATTGCTTTCGCCTCCGAAGCCAACTGCGATCGGGAGATTCCCGGCGCGTAACTAAACGAACTTGGACGAAACAACCCGCCGATAGCCTGCTTTCTAAAGACAGGCAGCGACTCGATACAGGAGAGCCTCGATTTCTTTTCCCCCGCGAATAAGCACGCACGCACGAACGAACAAACGGAAGGACGGAAACACTTAACAACAAAAAAGGCTCGAACCGTGCACGCTTCATTACGCAATGTGTAAAACGCGCACGAAAAATACAAGTAATTGACCCGTAGTCGCAGCTCATTCTTCCAATTTAACCGCAACTTTTTTTTTCTTTTTACTCTCAATCAACAATTGCCTACCAATACAAAAAAAAAAAAAAGAACGGGTAAAAAAAAAGAAAAAAAAGAAAAAAGCTTGTGCAAACACCGAACGCACGTCGTTCGAATCTTCTGATGCGTACGCTCATTACGTATTCAAGTCTTTAATATCTAATCTAACTTGCGCGTTTTTTTTTGTTGTTTCTTTTTAACTACCCCCTCCCCCTTCTCTTTTTCTCTACTTTTCCAATCTTTTGAGTATATCTTAGATCGCTTTATTTATGGACCGCCGCAGCCTTCCCTTTCAAATAAGAGAAAGAAAAAGAAACAAACTCGATATTCTTTCTTTTTTTCTCTCTCTCTCTCTCTCTCTACCTTTTTGGAGGGTAAAACAAACCCTTTGATAAGGTAGTGTTTAAAAAAATAAAGTTAAAGAAAAACAAATCGTTAAAGTAATCTCTTTCCTCCCGAACGCGTAGAGCGGGTAGAACGACGCGTCACTTTGAAGAAGCGACGAGAGCGCCGACGAGTCGACTTCAAGTCGCTTTCTCGAGATTGCCCGTCGAATCGAACTCGCCATTGCCGACACGGGTCACGTGCACGGCAAAAGGAGAAAAAAAAATAAATAAAGACGGCCGTATTACCCCATTGAAGAGACAGAGAGGGCCTATCGGGAGGCGGCGAACACGTACTAGACCTCCCGACTGAACGACCTTCGAGACGCGCTTTAAAAGAATCCAGGCGGTAGGTACACTTCTGATATCCTCCTCTTCGAGGACGAGCGCGAAGGTTACCTATCGCGTCAACGGGTCGGCGCTCGTACAGACGCCCATCGAAGCTCGTTCGCGTGGGCACGCGCTGGCTTCGGGATCCCAGTCGCGTTTCCCTCCGATGATTTACATAGCGGAGAAAAAGCGACCCGACGGTGCGACATGGATTGAATTTGTCGCTTTTACCAATTGATACTCGATGACTATATAAAAAGTTCGAGGTAAATAACCAAAATAAAGCGCTGACGAACGCGCGTGCAAGGTGCCATTTGTTTTAGGCTTTTGCTTTAGAACAGTTACTGCTGCCATAGCCTCACAAAGCCTGGCAGTTCGACGACGGAACCATAGAGTGCCCGGTCGCAGATTTCGAGTGCGAGGATCCGGTAGCAAAGAGAATTTCTCGCGGAACCGCATTCAGCGCACAGCTTTTGCAGCGGCGATGACCCAAAACATGGCTTTCAAACCCGACAAGAAGCGGTAGCGCGAGGAACGCAAGGAGCACTGGCCGACACGACATTCCATCGCTCGGGAGAAGTGTGTTTCGGCGTCTCGCCGCAGCGGGGCGCCTGACACATGGCTCTCCCCTCATCCGTTGTCTACCGCTCTACTTTTTCACTTTCAGCAGCCGCGCCTCGGCATGCACGGCGCGTAGAACACCTTTCCCGGCATTCTCCTTGATGCTTGGGTAATTTAGCAATAGGTCTATTCAGTAGATTAGTTATACACAGGCACCATTTTTAAGATCAGTAGACTCTCAGGTAGATAATAAAGGTTTCTCAAAAATTTGCCGCTGTGCGACCCGCGTCGGCCACGTCTACGCTCGCACCGCCCACTCTTTAGGGAGTATTCGTAGATGGTTTTCGCCGTCCCGCGACGCCCTCCGCAACCCGCTACGATACCCGGAACTCTACAGTCAAGGCTATCGGCGCGCAGGCGCAGTAGCAACTTCATCGTTTTGGGGGGTTTAGCGGAGGGGGAAGCGCGGTCTACGAAAACTCCCTATTGTCGTCGTTCCAAGCCCCCGCTTGCGTGCCTAATTCCCTTTCCTTCCACTCTCCCGGGGTGGCGGTCCCGTCGCGCGTGTCCAGTTTCCTCCGGCTCCTCGGGGCGGGTCTGTGTCGTATGCAAAACAGCTTCGCTCGTCATCCACCTTCGCAGAGTGGAATGCCTCGTGATTCTTTTTAATTAATATTATTTACGAAACAGAATATAGAGCTATCCAATTTTGCTGGTTCTGCCTGCTCGGAATTGTCCCAGAAACTTTGGAGCAGGTCTTGTCATTTTATCATTAATCCTGTACATTGTACCTATAATTATTATTGCATTATTTTAACTTCTGTGGCAGCTAATTTGCGGTCACCCAGCCTTAAGCGCCAATGCCTCAACAATGGCGATAAAAAAAAGTACACAGAGAGAGAGGGAGAGAGAAGAGGCTGAGCTTTCTTGTTCTTGTCACTGAAAGTGATAACAAGTGTGGCTGTTTGGATATGTATCGACACTTTTAGAGAGGTGATCACAAAATGTAACTCGCAACCAGCATGCGGCTCTTCCCAGGTGCGTGGGCGGCTGGCGGCTTTCTTGGCAGCGTTACCCCCCTCCGCAAGATCGGAGGGAACAAAGGATAGCTCGCATTTTGGTAGCCTTGCGCCACCATACATACAGCGGATCAAACTAATAGAAGGCATAAGGGCCAGTGACATAATGAGCAAACACTTTGTAAGTGGAATTCACTTGTCACAAAATAGAATAGAACAAAAAAATACTACCAAGCCCCTTATCGATAGTGACTCTTAGAGTAAGAACAGCTCTTATGGTGCTTTGCGTATCTCCATGTGGCCACCCCTGTGTTAATTAGAGCATAGTCTTTCAATTAGTGGTATTGTTTTCTTGACTTGTTTAATTGTGATTTATTGTAGGCTCAACGAGTTGCTTTCTATTGTGCATTTGACGTGAACTTGTTCCCCCATACCTGTCTCAGTCCCCGTAAAGGGGGGGGGGGGGGGGGTGGACGGTATTGCTAAATGAACGAGCAAACTCACCTATGGCAGGCGACATGGACCGGGAGCCTCCTCCCCCTCCTCCGCCCGAAGGGGAGGGTCCCGAAGGGGAGGGCGCCGGCCGCAGGGGGGACAGGCCCGGGTGCGGGGCCGGAGGGGTCCCAGGCCCGGGCCGGCCCAGGGGTGTGCTGCGGCCCCCCGGGGGACACTCCTCCTCCCCTCCGGAAACCGACGGGGGTCCCGACGAGCCCCCACTCAGCTCCTGCTGAAGAGAGAACAGCAGGCTCAGTCACTCGCACTCCACAAACACCGCCAAGCCGCTCGATTAAACGCTGGACAGGTGGCACAAGCCGCCGCCCGATTCAACATTCTCAACTGTACCCGTCCTCCATCCACATGCCGGGAAAAACGAACCAAGCCCGACACGGGTGCTATCTAGCGACCTTAGTTGAAAAACAGACACCTATTCTTCCCCCCCCCCCCCTCCCCTCGTGATGTTTGCTCTCCGAAAAATAGAGTTTTAACGTAAGCGGTCAATGTAATTAAAGAAAAACGAGCGCAGATACGCTCTCAAATATGCGCAAAAAGTGTGTTTGCCATCTTGGGTGTGTCCAAGACGATTAATAACGGACGTAACACAGGCTACAAGCTACGTAATCTAGATTACGAGAGGGCATGAAGGCCAAAGGAATAATTTAACCGGACTAGAGTTGGCATCTTGTACGAGACCATTATTTGTGAACAAACTGAGCGCACCCTTGATGTGCCTGACTAGCAGATTCAGTTTACTTCACACACACGGACCTGGCAGGTTCATTCCCTGGTGCGAGTTGCTAGGACAGTTTGTACGAGCATTTTCTGTCGTTATTTGCAACATGTCAGTGACCACGGAGCTGTGGCTGGACAGTCCTTTTTGAGCCCACCACGACGTCATGCCAGTGAAGGTTCGCACTAAACACTGCAAATCAGTGTTCACACCAAAACTGTGATACACCACAGACAGTGAGACAGACGTTGAGAAAATAAGCAGGAAGTGCTCGTCACAAAAGACTAATGTTAAAGCAAAAAAAAAAAGAAAAAAAGAGAAACCAGAACTCTATGTGCAAGGTCTTCGTCGCGTGCGTCTCGAACAACAGAAGAGACTCCTTGATGTGTTACGCTCGAACTTCTTTTCGTAACAATGTTCAAAGTTCAACAATGGTTCCCCGGTTCACGGAGTTTCTCATCGCTCAGATACCTGTCGCGCACGCCTCATTTTACGACTAGCAATAGAGAAAAAACAAAAAACCAGAAACCCCCTTTCAAAAGAACATCAACAATCTGGAAGCCCTTTCAATTACGTCATCGGTGATGTCGGGAGAACGAGCCAAACAAAGTCTACTATTCAAAGGCATCCAACAACAAAAAAACAACCTTCCTCGCGAAAGGCTGCCGGCACATATATACATAAAACATCGAACAAAAATACTACGGCGGCATCTGAAAGATCCCTTTTAGTTTTTTTGTTTTCTTTCTCTTTTAGGGCGCACGTTCCGAAACAAAACAAAGAAAACAATACGTAAACAAACGCGCGTAGCAGACGGGCGACCCTATTTTTGTTGCGCGTGTTGATAGCACTTTTGCTGTTGTTGCTGCTCTCTTCGCTTCATCATCAGTCTCCTGAGCTGGCGCTAAACCACGTGATCAAGGGCTTCCCTGCTTTGCCAACAAAACAGAAACACGACCCCGCTTTACTTTTTTATGCTTCGGTGGGCATCGTCGTCGTCAATGGTCGCCTTTTCTTTCTTCTGTCATCTTGGCGGTCTCTCATCGCTCTCGCCGGCGCCGCATCCATTGTTCCACGTTCCAACGCGTGCACGTTCCCTCCGTATCAAAAAAGGAGGAGGGGGTGGCGACCTTCGCAAGTCGCCGCCGCCGACCTTGCCAGTGAAATATATACATATATATATCTATCGGTCGTCGAGCGAGCGAGCACCCTGGCCAGTTTGCTCTCCCGTCAGACGGGCTAATAGGCCACTCCTCCCCAAAGCCTTTCTCCCCCGGCTATTTGTTTCTTTGTCTTTGGATTCCCTCTTCCTCGGGGGCGGGGACGGTCTATTTCGGGATCGCGACTAATCACGTCGCAGGTCGTCGATATAAAAGGGCGCCACATCGATAACAAATGAACTCCACTGCATGGCTACGTTTCCCACGCTGCCTACTCGGTAAGAAAAGAAGAAAAAATAAAACACCGGGTAGAATACTCGTTCGTCTTCCTAACTTTCGGGGAGCCGGGCGGACGAGTTTTCCCTACGTGATACGTCGGCGGTGACTAGGAATAGATACTCAATTAAAGGCCAAGGAACAGTGAGGAAGGAGGAAACTGCCTCAATTCCTCCATTCCTTTCGGGAAGGAGAGACTTTCCTCCTTTCTGCAGGGGAAAGCTCGAAGACCCGCCAACACTTCCTAGGCGGTGTTGGACCTGCCTTTCTGTGGAGAGCAGGCGAGAAGAGGGCGAGGGGGAATGGAGAAAAGAATCTGGGAACCGGATTTCTGCCCGGCAGAAGAGGGTTCTGTAGGTCGGCCTTTAAAGGTGCCCTGCAATCATATTTAAGCGTCTACCTTTTTTGCGGATTCCATGTCTCTTGGGGTTCGTGCAAGCCAGCGGGCACGGAGAGAGTAACTAAATATCAGAGCGTCATATTTTAACCGGACGACGCGAAAACCTCCTCCACCTACGGGGACGACCCGCGGTGCCGAAAAACCGCAATATGTGGCGACATCGTGACGTTTTAGGTCCTGGCCCTGGCCCTTCTACAGGCCAGAGCCGCTAAAAGCTTCTTTTTAGTCGAAATACAAAATATAAATGGCGCGAGCCGTTTCAATTATTTATAAAAATATTTTGTTCAGTATTTTAGATAAGAGAAACAAATGCAGTTTACAAAGTACGGAAACAAGAAAGGACCCGCCGACATACCTGCCACCAAGCGGTGGAAAAGGCGCACAGTAGAAATGTGTAGTGGGATCAGGCACCAACGAGCGTCGAGAGTAGAAAGGTCCTGGATGTACGCGGTGGCGCTACGGTCGTATACGGGCTCGAAGATTCGATCGGTTCCGAGCGTTCCGAAGGCATTCGGCGAGCAGGTTTGGCTTGCGGTTTGGCCGTTTGGCGGTATGGCAGCGCGAAGTGGCTCCCGTTCTGAACTGATCTTTACCCCGTGTTTGCACTCGTTTGTGGCCAATGAAGTGTCATGCCGAATTATCGTTTAATCGCGCAGCAAATGCAATACGAGCCGCCCTGGCTGCCCGCTTCATACAGCCTATCCAGAACATGCTTGAGTGGCGCCCTCTTGAGCCGTCGACACGGAGTGCGGCAGCCGTGAGCGGCCTCGCTGAGCTCAATAATCCTCTAGTTCACGGCCACTCAAGCAACCATGAACGTCCCGAAGGAGGTTATTTTTTGCTCGTTTTTGTAATTTTAATTTGCCTATAACTTTTTAAAATAAAGCGAAATTCGAGAAAAGTTTCATTAAGTTACTACGTTCAGTGCAAATTAATAACCAGTAAAAAAGTCCTTGCAGGGCACCTTCGAGAAACTTTCTCGCGTACACTCCTCATAGCAACGCGGGGAAAGAACGAATACAGGAGCACGCAGTAAAGCCGCGCTTAGATAAAGTATTTTATATTGACGGAGACCATGCGAAGTCTGCTCTCTCTACGGTCTGTACAGCATTCAGTATCCGCGTTTGGAAGCGATTTTTACGAGGCAGCGCCCTGTAGTGCATCGTGCTCAGTTCTATACGGTTTTCCACCTCAAGAACCGCAGTATAAAAAAACAAAGTTTTTTGTGCAGCGCTTCAAATAGTACTCTTTAGTGGTGAATTAAATTAATTATGTTTATTTAGGATCGATTACTCGTAATTGTTTTTTAACGTACACGTTTAAACGTCGAATCTCGTAATAACTACATCTCGTAGCGTTTGAACAATGGGCGAACCTTGGTTTGTTTTTTTTTGAGGGGAAGGGGGGAAGGGGGGGACAAATGTAGATACATTTCAATTTATACTTAATTTCAGCGCAAGTAACTAACTTGTTAAAACAATGAAAATGTATCCCTCCCGGAGCAGCTCACGCCACTTTCTCGGACACTCCAAATAAAAGAACATACCACGGCGCTGTACCAAGCGTTCACAATTGAAAAAAAAAAAAATATAGCAGCGCGTGAGGTGTGTGAACGGTCGTCGTCGCAGCGTTGCGCTGACGCCTCGCGCGGTGCTGCATCAATGGTAACCTCGACATCAACTAAACAAAGCCCGCGGACGAAATACACTACGACGTTCATGTGCTCGACGCTGACCGGGTTTTAAAGGGACGCCTATCAGACGGTTTCCCAGAGATGGCATAAGGAACGAAGCCAATCATGTTCGTAGATTTTGGCCAAAGAAAATGTCGTTCGTCCGTGCATGCCTTCAATCGCAAATAATAATTTTATTACTTTCGACGGACCCGTACTGGCCTCTGGAGGTCGACCTGTCCCATTTTTTTTCGTCCCTCGTCTTCGGTTTAAATTGAGAGCAATTGTTGTCGTGCGATCGTTAATACAGCGGGAAATTTGTCCGCCCCGGTGGGAGTTTGGCTTCTCCGCTACAGACGAGGGAAATTCAGCCAGCGCAGTACCCACGTTCAGACAGAAATGGGCAGGTAAGGGTGGGGTTTAAACCCAGGATCCCGGGTTCTTTCTGCAAGCTCCAAGTAGCAGCCAGGCCCGAGGTAACGGGTCTTCATTGAGTCCTGCTCCGGCAGCGGTCGAGGACGGGCCCCCGCACCCAGTGCAGAGAGAAGGTGACGATCGCCAAGGAATGTCCGTCCCGGCTGCGGCCGGGGGACAGCGGAGCGGCGTGCGCAGCACACACGTCTGAACCCGGCGGAGCGAAAGCGTGCGGGGAGGCAATTAAACGCGGTTCGGAGCCCAATTAGCGGAAGCAAAAGAGAGCAGCAGCAGCGCGGCGCCAATTAGGAAAAGCTCAATGCGCCCATTAATTAGCCGCGACCGCTTCCCCCTCCTTCTCCTCCCTGGCGCACAAAAGAAGACGACCGGTGTCGTGTTTACATCTGCTCCGAGGTGTGTGCGTGTGTGCGTGCCAGCGACTCGGTTGGCGCGAACGAGGCGAACCCCGGGGGCTTCTTCCGGGCCGAGGAAGCAAAGGCGCCGGAAACGAAAGGGCCGGACGAAAAGGAGGCGGGCGCAATCCGGCACGGATGCCGCGACTTGGACCGTCCCAGGT